CAGGTCCACCCATGTTGTCACAAATGGTAAGATTTCATTCAATTTTATAGCTGAGCAATAATCTATTGCGTATTCTTGTGTGTACCACATCTTCTTTATCCAGTCATCAATTGAATGACACTTAGGTTTCTTCCATATCTTGGCTAATGTAAATAATGCTGCATTGACAATAGGGGTACATATATCTTTCAAAACAGTGTTTTGGATTTTGTTGGATATATACCCAGAATTAGAATTGTTGGTCATAAGGTAGTTCTCTTTTTAATTTTTAGGAAACTCTATACTGCGTTCCATATTGGCTGCACCAATTAGCAATCTCACCAACAGTGCACGAGGGTTCTTTTTTCTCTACATCCTCACCAACACTTCTTTTTTGGTGATTTTTCATGATGGCCAATCTGACAGGTGTGAGGACATATCTTATTGTGGTTTTAAAGCATTTCTCTGATGATTAGTGATGTGGAGCATCTTTTCATGCATCTACTGGGTTTTGTATGTTGTCTTTGGAGAAATGTCTATTCAGGTCCTCTGCCCATTGTTTAATGAGTATTTTTGTTTTTCTTAGGATGAGTTGTATGAGTTCTTTATACATTTTGGATATTAACCTTTTATCAGATATATTATTGGCAAATGTTTCCTCTCAGTCAGTAGGCTGTCTTTTTGTTTTGTTGATTGTTTTCTTTGCTGTGCAAAAACTTTTTATTGGGTGGAGTTCCATGTGTTTATTAATTTTTTTCATTGCCCCCCCAAATATATCAGAAAACAAATGTAACTAAGAGCAATGTTTACTGCCAATGTTATCTCTAGTAGTTTTATGGTTTTGAGCCTTACATTTAAGTCTTTAATATATGTTGAGTTTATTCTTGTATATGGTATAAGAAATGGTCTAGTTTAATTGTTTTGCATGTATATATCCAGTTTTCAAAGCATCATTTATTGAATTGACTGTCTTTATCTTACTGTGTATTCTTGCCTCATTTGTCATAGATTAAATGATCATATAAGTGTCGGGTTTTTTTTTTCTGGCCTCTGTATCTATTCCATTGAATTATGTGTCTGTTTTTATGCCAGTACCATGGTGTTTTGATTACTATAGCCTTGTAGTATAGTTTGATATCAGGTAGCATGATATCTCCAACTTTGTTTTTTCTCAAGAGTGTTGTGATTATTCGAGGTATTTTGCAGTTCCATATAGATTTTAAGGTTATTTGTTCTAGTATATGAAAAAAACTATATTAATATTTAGATATCAGTACAATTTTTATACACCAATAATGAAGTGGAAGAAAGAGAATGAGAAACAGGATCCCATTTATAATTGCAACAAATAAAATACTTAGTGGGCGGCCTGTTGGCTCAGGTGGTTAGAGCGCAGATACATAATACCAAGATTGCTGGTTTGAGCCCCACATGGGACATTGAGCTGCGCCCTCTACAACTAGATTGCAAACAATGGCTTGACTTGGAATTGCAGCGTGCTGGAAAAACACACTATTCCCAATAAAGGTTTTAAAAAATACATAGGAATAATTTTTACTTAAGAGGGAAAAGGCTTGTACTCAGAAAAGTATATGACAGGAAGAAATTGAAGAAGATACAAATAAATGGAAGCGTATATGGTGCTATTGGACAAGAAAAATCAACATCATTAAAATGTCCATTCTACCCAAAGCAATCTGTACACTCCATGCAATCCTTATGTAAATACCAATGGCATTTTTCTCTATACAATTTTAGTAACTATTTGATTCAGTATCTGCTTTGTCTGTCTTACAAACAGTTTTTCCCTGTCCTTTTACGAACTTCACAATGTTTTTTCCAATCTTGATCAGAAGTATTTAAAAATTTCTGTTTACTTCATGGGCAATATGGATTTTTAAGAATAATTTCCTTTCAGAAAACATACATTATTGTGAGTAATCTGTTCTTGTTTGATAGAATATTCATAAGTTGCAGTACTTGAATGGAAAAAATTTCACTTGGCTACTAAGCCAACTGATACAATTTTATTTCATAGGAATATTTGAAATGACAGTTTTCACTTTTGTGTCTCTCTTTCTTTCTGCATCAGTAGCTTCACTACTCTTCCTGATAATGTGGACTTCATCATTGTTTACTTTAAGCCTCAGCCTGTTGATAGTGTTGCTATGGGCTGGGAAGGCCTGGAGCACTGGCATGGGCCCCCATTACTTGATTCAGACCTGAGCCAAGGTGTGGTTGGACCAGCCCTTGTGGTCTTTATAATAATTGCAACAACCACCAGGGAAGTATGAAAACACAAGGTTTACTCTCACAGGTCCAGCATGTCTGAGGAACACACAGGAGGGTCTATGGGAGAGAGAGAGACAGAGACAAAGAGAATGGACTGAATGTGTGTGTGTGGAAACTTGCGTGCTTATTTAGTAGCCATGTCATACACCTAACAATATGATTTTTTGAGATAGATGTCTGTGAAATGGAACTCTCGTAAATCAAAAGTTTAATGTCAGGCATTCACATGAGTAACATGCTACTGTATTTTATTCCTCGTCTCCTGTTGTTTTTGTTTTTTTGTCTAATTGACCTTGGTGTCCAGAATAGCTACAATAGTCACTGGTAAAACTGATTATCAAGTATATATCTCCCAGTGGTGTGTATATGGAAACATACATGAGAAGTTTGGAGACAAATGGAAAATGAGGTATATATGAGATTCTGAGCTAAGATTGAGGTAAGGCACCTGGGACTTCAGAGGAGAGAAACGACAATAGCAGGACAATAAAAAGAGCAGAAATTCAGCACAGTAAGTCCCTGACTTACAAACATTCGAGTTGCAAATGCTCACAGATATGAACAGACTTGGTATTACGAACATTCGTAGGTACGAACAGATCGAAGAAGTAGCTTATGTGTCTGCCAGACGTTGTCGCAGTTGTGCTGCTGTGTGCTTACTGTACAGTGTGATAGTGTATAGTAGTAGAGTGCTCAATCAGGGCCCAAGATGTCTGGAAGCAAGAGAAAAAGCAGTGGTGATGTGGAGGGGACGGCTAGGAAGCATCTAAGGTGTATAAGACTCACTTTTTTCGGACTTACTAATGAATCTGACTTACAAACGTTCTCCCAGAATGAAACTTTTTCATAAGTTGGAAACTTACTATAGTTAGAAGTTTGACGTATTCTATACATAGGTCATAAAATGTTATCTCTGATGATAACTCTTACTATGGTCAAGGCGCCAAATTAACATTCTTTAAGGAAACGGTAAATGTTTATCTTGGGCCTGCAGGGTCTCATAAAGAATCCACATACATATCTTGAGGTGACTTGTTCTGAACG